GTGATGTGCATTGCTCTTCGGATTTTGCAGTACTCAGGGTGAGCTTAGGTAATATCTCTCCATGGACTTCAAGTTCCTCCTTTTTGGGGAAAAATAACCAAGGGTCCCTGAGGAATGCAGTTCATAGCAGAACTGAAGCACAAGAATAACTAGTGAACTGAGGAGTATTATACCTACATGACAAAATAAATAAGTGTAGAAGGAAATGTGATGTAGTCTGATGCACTGATGGTCACATTTTCTCTGTGCTACAGCTCTCTGGTCTGATGCCTTGTGTAGATTTAGCAAATATCTAAACATGTTTGTTGATGAGTCTTTTGTTGCTCAGATTAGCAGGAGAAAGTAAGGGCAACTGCATACCTTTAACAGGGCTAATGCCAGCAGGAAGTGTAGTTATAGAGTGTTGTTACAAGCTGGCAGATTTAAGGATACCTGAAATTAGTTTCAAGGAACTATATCCAGGATTAATTTCTTTATCCACCATGGCAACATGCCTTCCATATCCTGGCATACTCTGCTATTGCTGCTAGGGCCTCAGATCCTATGGAAGGAAAGGTCATGGATTAAAGGTTGGAGTGGAAATAGTTCATTTCTTCCCTCCCTTCTTCCCTCCCTCCCTCCTTTCCTTCTTCCCTTCCTTCCTCTGCTCATAAATGCTAAGTGCATGTGAGTTGAGCATCAAACATGGATGACTAGGGCTTCCCATTTTGAGAGCAGACTGAGGTGCAATTTGCTGCATGCTGGGCTATACTGGGGAAGGCTTCCAGAGGGTGATGTGGGCTTTGGTGAGTGTGAAAAGGAGTTTGGGGAGAAGATTGTTCATTAGAAGGAATGATACGTGTAAAGAGTACGTGAACGTGATGAGGCAGAAAAAGTCGTGGTGTCTTTGGAGGAATAATAAGATGTTAGCTCCAACAGAACCCAGAGTACATTCTGGAATACATCTATATCTATATCTATATCTATATCTGTATCTGTATCTGTATCTCTATCTCTATCTCTATATCTATATCTATCTATATCTCTCCAGGGATTGAACTCAGGGGCACTTGACCACTAAGCCACATCCCTAGCCTTATTTTGTATTTTATTAGAGTCAAGGTCTCACTGAGTTGCTTAGTGCCTCACTAAATTGCTGAGGCTGGCTTTGAACTCACAATCCTCCTGCCTCCGCCTCCTGAGCATTACAGGCGAGCACCACCATGCCTGGCAAAGAGCACATATTTTGAGTGGCTTACACTTAAAGTCAGGAAGCTTGATTTTTGTCTTTGAAGCAATCAGGAGCTTACTTAGGCAAGGAAGTGAAATAATCAAACTTGCACTTTAGCAAGACCCCTGTAGTGGTTTGTAGAGGGCTCTAGAGTTGAGGAACTGATTCAGAGACATTGCTACATTTGGGACCTTGCTACTCAAAGCATCCTGCTTGAACAACAGCCTTAGCACCGCCTAGGAGCACATTAGAAATTCAGGCTCTCGGGCATAACAGTCATGTTACCATCATCTCTAGGTGATGTGCACAGCCATTCTGAGAAGTGGTGATTTAAGAGTGCTTCTTTAATCATCCACATCTGATGCTAATCATACAGATGGTTTTTCATGATGTTCATTTGGACACACCAGGAGGAATGACTTGACCTTTTTCTTCTCATACCACAGACTTATAGGCTGTTTGTTCCATGATCTTTGTAACCTCTTTTCAGAAAGGCAGACAGAAAATTCTACTAAAAAATTAACATATTTCAATGCTATGAGAAATTCTACCATTTTGGGCCAAAGCTTTTCAAAATGCCTCAGTCTTGGGTTGTTAGTATATGAATGTGTTCAGGGAGGCACATGCCAAGAGACTGGCATCTGCATTTTTTTATTTCTTAAGCTTGGTGATGGGATGCAGGTGTTCATCATGGTTTCATTTGCTACTTTTTGTAGAATTCGATATTTTATCATTAAATTTATGATTCAATATGTAGTGAGCTGCAAAGAGAAAAAGAGCAAGAAAAAAAAAAGTCCAGGCAAAAGACTGCCTCAGAACTCACATGGAGGGTGGGAGTGGAATCTACATGTGGTGACAGCCCTCTGTTCCTGCTAATGGTAATGTTTGTTCAGTGCTCAGTCAATACTGTTCTGGGGACACCTACTATATGCTAGGCGCTGTTTAAATGTGTTATATGCCACACATTTAATTCTTGGGGCACTTTTGGAGGTGAGACCTATTATTTGTCCCTACCTCATAGAGATAGTTTTGCAAATGCAAAATCTAAGGTGTGAAGAGGTCATGCTCTTAGCCCAAAGCAACAGAGTTGCAGGACTAGCATTGAACCCAGGCCACAGAAGTTCCAGGTTTAAGTTTTCTAACACTACCCTGTAGCCTCATGTATTGCTTCTCTATAAGGAAATAATGATAGAAGGATAGGATGAAGGATAGTAATGAAATGAATGTTCTTTTTTTTTTTTTTTCTTTTCTTGGCCAGGCCAGAGTCAAGCAAATATAATACGTTTTTAGCCTTAAAGTGACAATTGTTCTACTGGGAAATGCTGTTTAGAGCTCGAAATGGAAGATATTGAGAGAAATAAATGTCCCCATTTGAATTTAAACCTTAGGAAGAATCTACTAATTAGAAAAAATGATAGAGTTCTCTCTTGAAAAAATATTGCATCCTAGAAACTCTCCCTTTTCTGTGACTGAGCTTGTAACCACCCTTGGAGGCCCAGCTGAAGTTCTGGTGTGAATTCTTCTCCCACTTTCTGAGATGCCGAGGGTCTATTCTCCAATCTGTGGTGATGAGGCTGCACTGATGCCTCTGGAGCTAATTATGCATTGGGAATGCAGTAAGCCACTCAAGGATCGCCTTATGACAGCTCTACAGGGTCATTAGCACTCTTCCCATTTTACAGAGGAAGAAAGTGATGTATTTTGAGATTAAGGAATTCATCTGACATCAAGCAGTTAATAAGTGGCAAAGCCAGAATTTCAACCCCAGATGTCTGACTGCGTGGTGGCTGTGTTATGGAAACCACAGAGCTGTCTGCTTTCCCTGTCACATGGGGATTCAATTGTCTTTTCCCACTTCCTATGCTTTCTAAATAATTTAAAGTATCAAAGGTGCTGATTTTGTGCTAAGGACGCACTGGTGAACTAATATACTTCCCTGCCCCCCAGATGCTTCCAATCTAGGCAGAGGGTAAAGGGGAAGATCTTCCAGAGAGCAAGAACAGCATAAATAAGACCTGGGAGGGAGAGAGAGCACCATTCTTCCCAGCGCTGCCTGTGTGGCTGGGAAGTTGAGATCCTTGAACAGAGAAGGTGGAGCTGTGAGGCTTGATTGCTGCGTAGCTTGTAGACCATAAAGCCTCTTCCAACCATGTAAGGGGTAGGGGTTTCCTTTGTATCAAGAGGGTAAATGGGAGCCAGTGAATAGTTTTAAAGAAATTTGGAAAATGTTGATTTAAACTGCATTCATTAACCTATGGACACTCAGTGACTTTAAAGAAAACGAATCAGCCAGTGACTTCATGCTAGGAACTCTCATTCAAGAAGTTTTTAAAGAATAACAATGAAAGACGTAGGGGGGAAACCAATAAAACGTAACATTTTATTATTATTTTTATCTTAGAAGGAATTCACCAAAGGCTTCATATTATGCTATGGCATCTTTAATTATAAAAATAAGCAAATAAAATAACTTGCATCTGTCATTACCATGATATGTTTCATAACCTTTATATGCACATGGAGCTTAAAAATGTAATTTAACAATAAATAATGACATATACCAGATATGCTCACTGTTTATTCCAGTACTCAGCCAAAAACCTAAATATCATTTAAATTATAAATACATAATGCAAATATAATGGCACAAAAATGTCTAAAGTGCAACCAAATCACAATAGAGGGATCATGCAAACTGGTCTAGGTCAGCCCCCAGTCACTCTGTGTAGCGAACACAAGACGAAGCTTCGGAAGTACAGAGGCAGAGGAGGTGGGGTGCGGAGGGGGGAGCAAAAAACTAGCAACGTTGTGAGAACTGCTTCTTTCTGTATGTGTAGATATATGTATTGTGGATACATATATAAATATCAGTGTGGGGAGAAAAGGGGGTACCACGGTTTGAAGAGATCACAGGAGAAAAAAAAAGAGAGAGAGAGAGAGACAGAGAGAGGAAAAATAATAAAGGGAAAAGAAAGAGAGAGAATCTACCGGACTGAAATAAAAGAGAATTTTGCTAGGAATCCTCATGAACTACTTGTCACTTTGGGGTCCTGGCTTAGTGGGTTTGCAAAATGGACACAACACACACACTTTATTAGCTTTTCTGGTTCTGCGAAGTCAGCCTTGCCTGGGGTGGGCGGTGGGGTGGGGAGGGGGAGAATCTAACTTAGAATATGCTCTACCTGATTTCCAAGAGGCTAAGGCAGTGTCCATTTGTTTGGGGACCTGGGGATGGGACAGTTCTGAGTATAAAAATGCCCTTTACAATCTGACGTCAGCACGCTTGGAGGCTGTGTGGGGACAATGGCAGCAGCGTGGGCGCTGCTGCTGCTGCTGCTGCTGGGTCTGCTACCTTGTTCTTGGTCCTTGAGCAGCACATGACTGGTTTTAAAGGCTTTATGGTAAAGTTGTATTGCTTTTCATTTTTCTGGAGAGGTACCCTCCCTCCTCCCACCAGGGTCCCTATCACTCGGTTTGGTCAAATCTTGAGTTTGGCCTAGTGAGAGTCAAGCACCAAGAGTTTCTACACAAGCGAGATTGGAGCGGCCCCTGCAGAACTGCCTCTCCTCCCTCTTCCTCTCTCAACATTGACCTTTGGTGGGCAGTGACGCTCATAAGGGACTGTTGGGTTCAAGGACAGTGACCCTGAGAAACTACTGTTGTTCATAGATAGGCGAATCATTTGGCTTTGGTGGTCGCCATCTTGTAAACATCACGGCAGAAACGATCAAACCACCAGCTCTATTTCCCTCTTTCTATCTATATTTTTTTCTTTTCTTTTTTTTTTTTCTTTTTTTAACGATCCTACAGAGATGGTTTAGCTGCCAGGACTACTTTGGCAGGCAGCGTGCTACAGGACAAAAATGTAAGAGGAGTCTATTAAGGCTGGACAGCCCAGGGTTATTTACACCCCCTCAGCCCCAAGTTCCCCGGACTAAAGACCCAAAGGCTGGTTGACTCATCCCTGATTGCTTCAGTGGGAGATCTCCCACCCCAGCATCTTTGCCAGAATGCTAGGCACTGATGAAAGGTGGGGAGTCAAGAACTGCCCCTTCCCAAGGTACAGTTGGCTTTATCACACCAAGTGGTCCAAGCCCGAAGGGATGCTCTTTTTGGTTCCTGAAATTACCAGTTGGATGTGACAGAGCTGTTTCAGGTTATATCTAAGTCAAGTGTAGCCTCTGGGTTGAGGTGGGCTGGGAGATTAACATCTGACCTGGGGTCCTTCAGATAAACCTGTTGGCTTTTCCTATCTCATATAGGCCCATCTTAAGTTTCGATGTTGAGTTAAAACTACTTCTACCCCCTTAGTTATAAAAAAGGCCACAAGGAGCATTTATGTGGATATCTGGAAGTGAGATAGTTATTCCATTCCCAGGAAAAGAAAAATAAAGCTAAGTTACAAAACTAAATCTATATGCAATAAAGTTATTATATACTGCTTTGTTTAAGCAGAGTCCTCTGGAATTTATGTACAGTACATTAGTTTTCAGCTATTTATATTCCACAGTTAGACCTTAAGATTCTCTGGTTTTAAGACAATTGTTAAAGATACTTTTAAAGCTCTGAGCAGTTACAGTACATAAAGATGTTAGCTTTTTGTTTTTCATTAGATGCAAGAAGATGCAGGCTCAAAGCCTGGTTGGAGAGCCAGGCTCAAGCAATTTGGTAAATGTATCGGAAAGGAAATTAGACATTGGAGGATCGAGACCATAAGACACTAGCTCATTAGAGATCAAGAATTCAAACATGACATTCATATTCGTCCATGGCCAGCACAGATTCATAACACGAATTCCATTTAACATCTTTATGAGCATTTAAGACATGCATTTAAATAAAGTTGTTTCGTATCAGCTAACTCTACTGGGGCAACCATTCTAAAGGGCTCCACATCTCCCAATTACAATGATGGGGCAGTTACATGAACGTTTTGTGTTGGAGTCAGTTGGAGGGGAGCTGGGAAGAGACGTGGATGGAGGAAGGTGATGGGAGAGGGTATGTTCTGCGGAGAGGCGGGATGGTGGTGTGGATTTGGTGTGTGGGGATGCTCTCATGGCAGAATGTTGGGATATTGATTACAGAAGCCTAGTTTCATGCAATTTTCTTTAAGGGGGGATAGAAAATAGGAACTACTTAAAAATAAAAAGTCAAACCAGGCACAGTACACTCAAAGTTGGTGTGTCAACACCCCTAAAATGATACTAGTTTGGTGAGGTTGTGAACACTTCTCCCTGGTTACGCACTCTCATGGGAAGTGCGTTTGATGTGGGAGGGAGAGTCCCCCTCACCTCGGAGGTTCCTGAGGAGGACTTTCAGCTTCTGCGGCTCACTGGTGCGCCTCCTGTTGAAGTCAGCTCTGGGGTGTGTTTGGGCACAGTGGTCCGTCTGCAGGATGTGGAAGAGGCTGGCCATGTTGGGCCCAATTTTCTCCATCAGGCTATCTCTGATTGAGCTAACGGTGTCTTCGTCACATTCCAGTAGGCTTCGGACAAGTCTGTTATAATATCTGCATTGAGAAAGAGAGTGCGTGGGACAGTCATTCATGAGAGTTCAGGTGAGACCCACCCAGGTTATCATCTGGGCTCCTGCTAACATCAGTCCTGATTGGTTAAACCAGGCCAACATAAATAGTTCATCACCCAACCTGGGTTTTTGCTTCCAAATTTATGCAGTGTCTAGTTTGATTTCATGAGCTCCATGGGTTTGCCATGCCATGTGAGAGGAATTCGTTTTTATGTTTAGAATTCAGGAGATTTAGATCACATTTTGAATAGCAGGCTGACTGTGCTCTTTGAAATGTTTAGAAACAGAATTTTAATGCTAAATGGGACCACAGAGACCATTTAGTGGTCAGTTCAACTCTTCCATTTTGTAGAGGTGAAACTAAGATGAGAGAGTCCAAGAGATTTGCCCAAGGACATAGTGAGTTAATGGCAGAACTGGGACTCAGTTAAACAAAATGAATGTAATAAGGTGAACTGAACACTCTATGCTTATATTAATAGTTATGGCAAGTGGATTTGTAGTTATTTTGATGCAATGTTCCTTTTTCTTAGTGGTGCATGTGCTCAGGCATATGTGCGTTTGAGATCATCTTTTAACTAAACTTCCTAAGGCCCCTGCAATCCTGTGTCTTATGTTTTTTTTTTTTTTTTTTTCCTATGACATCTCAGCCAGTCTTGATAAGGGCTTCTATTGACTGATCCCATTTTCAGGTTTCCTTCAAAGGTATCTTGCAGTTGGAAAAACAAACACTAAGCCATGAGGATTTTTAAGAGGAAAGATTAATGGTCCTTAAGATTCTTGCCTCTGTAATTCCATGAAACCTCTCACTGGTCTGGCTCTTGCTGACCTCTTCCTTTTTCTGATGTCCTATAGACATTTGCCCAGCCTTTGATGGTTTCATGATCAGCCCCCCCCCCCCCCCCCCCCCCCCCCGCCCCCGGATTAGACTGAAAACATAGAAAGTGCTGTTTGTGTCCTTATTCTTTGTCTACCTCAGGCCATATTGCCTGCTCACTGTAGATTTTTAAATTTATTTTGTGGTCATTGAGGAAATGGCATTTTAAAGACATAATTCCCTCCAATAAATCATGATTTCCTGAGGAATAAATGATCTGTCAGTATGGTAGATTTTATAAGAAATCTCATGTTTGGTACAAATTACCTTCATCTTTGGAGCCAAATTCCCCAAATGCAGCTAAATTTTATGGCTCAGAAAGGATTAAATCGTGCAGTGTTTAGAGCATAGATATTACTTATGCTATTCTTTGGGGAGAACAGTGCAGGTGTATTCCAATTTAGGTTGGGATGTACCTGCTTCCTTCTGAGGTGACAGATGTTCAAACCCATTAGCTCTGTGTTCACTAACAGGAGACACTGCAGGACTATGTGGGGAGACCTTTCCTTGGAGGGGCCTGAGATCTCTGGGGCCACAGGATCTTCCATGAAAAGAAACCTGTTTATTTTTAACTTGCCTCCCAGAGCACAGGGTTGCACATCTTTCCAGAAGGACTTAACCCCCAGAGAGGTCCTTGGAAGGATGGACAGTAAATAGAGTGGAATGTGGGTAATGAAGCCAAGAGGTCACCATTCTGTGGGTGAGAGAACCAAGTCAAGGGTGGAAAGAAAAGTGTAGGTCGAGTTAGCAGACGCAATCCTGGCTGGACCTTCCCTCCTGGGGACAATTACATCCAGCTGTGAGCAAAGCTGGGATTCTCTGGCACAGGGGAACATTTTCCAGCACTTTGGAATTATAAAGCGCATGAGTCAAGTAGCCTTTGCTTGGATGGAGAAATGGGGAGAAAACTGGTTTTGGAAAAACTGAGAACAAACAGTTTTGTGCTGATAGCTTCAGTGAGCTATATATACGTTGGTCTCTGGGCATCTCCTAACTCGCGGTCCTCTGGATTACTGTGTCTGTTTCAGAGGGTAATTAGGTTTGGGAGGATAAGGCCCTGGAAAGACTTTATTACTTGGAAGTTAACCCTTCCACTTCCAGAAAGAACTATTCATGCCAGATGAGCCCCCAAATGCACTGGAAACAATGATCTTCCCTTAGAAAGAACAGAAAGCCCTTGTCTGCACCAAGAAGTCCAAAACCTTAATGGAAATGAAACTTCAATAGTTACCCTTGTTGTGTCAGGGCCACATGTTGCCCGTGGTCCCACCCAGTCTAAATACCTGCTGTCTTTCTCCGAGGTCTCCTACCTTCAGTGTTGCTCTCTCTGCTAGCCCAGGTATGACAGCCCAGTGACTGTCCACTCTGCCTCTCACCTTCCTGCTTCCCTGATGGAGTTTTGTTAGCTCAATAGGGCAGACTGGAGATCAGTGGCTGGTGGTGCCTTAATGTCAGCAGGGTTAGCCCTGTTCCTCTCCATTAAGTCTGAGATATGACATTTACTTTTTGGATGTGCTGGTCAATGAGACACCTCTTTCCCATTGGTCACTAAGTGAGACAGATTATTGAAGAGGTTGTGCCACCAGCAAAAGTAGACTTCACAACGGTCACATATTTAGCGAGCGCCCTCTTGCACCAAGACTTACTGTTTCCATAGCTTTTGGGAGGAAATGTCTTTTAGGGGAGAATGTATGCAAATTTAATTGCTGACCATTCTGGTGCATATATATTCAATTATGCCTGGTTTTCTATTTTTGGATTGTGGCTATTTCTTGCAAGTTTCTCTGGCTGCCACTTTTGAAGTAGGAATCAAAATAGCTTGGCTCAAGGCCACGTGAATTCTGGGCCCAACTCTTACTCACGAGCTGTGTGACCTTCAGCAGGTCACTCCTGTCTCTGAGCCTCTGATCTTTAATCAGAAAAATAAGGCAGTTAGTCTACATAATGGTCTTTAGCTCTGACATTTTGTATTTCTAGGGATTTCTTCTCAATTGAGCAAAAATAGTGCAGCTCAGGGTTAAGCCCCTCCTTTGCAGGAGGAGCTAAGAGTACTTGAGTAGATTCCTTTCTTTCTCTCCATGGCCTTTGTGGTGGGCAAAGGGGCTGTACTGCAAAGACCTAGTGAGCCAAGTGTTCTGATCTCTCAGCCTGAAAGTTCCTTTTTAAGCATGTTTCTTTCTTCCCACTTTGAAAATTCCATCCCTGACTTTTTTTTTTTTCTCTTGGTAAAGAATACGATCAGATATTCTCCATAGCTACTGTTTCAGCCATGCCTACCCAAATACACACACACTGCCTAGGAACGTTCTGTGTGAGGGTTTATAAATAGTCCTTTGTTTCCCTTGATCAATATTATTCTTCTGTTTCCTGTTCCCTATCCATGCCCCAGAGAGTTGGACGCTTTGTCAGTTTTCCCACTCTGGATCTGGGTTGGTCTAATTGGTTCCCAAGCCCCGCGACCGCCTGATTGATTCTGCCTGCTTCTCTCATCACTGAAGGCCCAGTTTGCAGATTCAGCCAGGGGACACTTCAACTACCTTTCCTTTTCTAGGTGCCTCTCTGTCATGGAAAACTCCCTTGTTCTGACTCCTGGTCCAGTCACAGGCTTTTGGATTCTCCCAGCCTCAAATCTCATGCTAGATAAGTCACAGGAAGGTAGAATGAACCTGTAACTACTTCCTTTTGCAATTCTGTGCCAATTGGCACCAACTTAGTGTGTGTCTATGGTGGGACAGAGGCTGGGAAAGCAGGATGTTTCAGGAGGGTGAGGAGCTTAAATAGAGCAGGTCGGGCCCAGCCTGGAACCGGAAATCTCTACAGCCCCAAGGAGGAATAACAGTAGCCCACTGCAGCAAAATACTTGGAGAAAGGTAAGGCCTATCATGGAGGATGGCCTTCCAGAACTGGCCATTTGTTTTCCTTACCCCCCTTTCCTTACCCTTAATAGTGAGTCCTCTAAAATGAAAAGGGGGAATCAGAAGACTTTCTTTTTAGACCATTTTCTGAAGGTGTTGAAAGATAAGGCCCCTAATAAAAGGAAGATTGTCTGGTTAAGAGCTCTTTGCATGAGTCTCTTCTTGGTTGGGTTGGGACCTCGAGTCTGGTGTATGCACCCTCCTTCCACAGCACCTCTCCCTTCACGTGGAAGATGCTGTGTCAGTTGAAATGGTGAGCTCGGATTGTCTCAAAATTGGCTCCATGATGTGTAAACTTGTGACAATGGCATTGCTACTCCCCTGCCCCCATCTACTGCATGCGTGCATAATTTGTCTCAAGCCACTGCCAGATGAAGAATTCTCCATTTCTTTTCCTTGTGGTGAAGGATGTCGCTAACAAATAGCCAGTTCTCATCCCTACCCATGCAACAGATACCTTCCTTAAAACCAAGATTGATATTAGGAGACAAGCCATTTGACCTAAGCGAGGTGGCGCACACCTGTCATCCCAGTGGCTCGGGAGGCTGAGGTAAGAGAATTGCAAGTTCAAAGCCAGCCTCAGCAAAAGCAAGGTGCTAAGCAACTCAGTGAGACCCTGTCTCTAAATAAAATACAAAATAGGGGTTGGGATGTGGCTCGGTGTCGAGTGCCCCTTGACTTCAATTCCCCATACAAGAAAAAAAAATTGAGAGGCCTGGTAGACTTGATTGTCCTGTTCTGAGACAATTGGTTAGAATCCTGGTCCTTGTTTGCTTTCAAGGACCAGACAAATGATTTCTGTAAACTAACATGTGGTTCTCAAGGGCACTGACCTGTAGCTAAGACTGAATCAGAAATTTATAGAGTTTTTATGTTAGGGACTTTAGCTTCTTCTTACGGGGGAGAACCTTCTCTGGTCTTCCACTTTCCTATGGGTACATAACTAGCTCTCTTACAAGCCCCAGAAACACTTAGCTGTTGCCATTTTCTGGAGAAGGGTGGTGGCACTTGGCTAGAAAATTAATCAGATAGGGCTGTAATAGCTCTCAGGGGACCAGAGGAACATAAGGCTGATCTTTGTGAATCTGAGCAGATTTGGCTGAAGAGTCAATGGAACTTTGGGCCTGGGATTCAAGTTTTAGGCTAAGAGCCATCACAGTAGGCTGACCCTGACTGGTCCGCATTGCCGTGTCTCCATTACCCGCCACCAATATGCCTCAGTTCTTGCTGGAAGCCTTTGCAGGCCAACCCACATGAAACCAGGAGGCCAGCCTTTTCATGTGTTAGGATTTCACCGCTGGCTGGTCAAGGCAGGAGCTTGGTATAGGAAGGCATGATGCTCAGACATTCTGAGCTCAGTGGCTTTGGTCATGTGAGAGCACTAAGCTGGAGATGCACTCTGGGCAACCACTAAACTGCATCCTGGGAAACCTTGGACTAGAGGGATGGGCTAGCATAAAGCCAGCAAGGGCACTCAGGCCATTTTGCTCTTCATTGAGCAAATCTAAATGCCAGGGAAGTAAGATGGCTGGTTCTGGGTTAGCCAGTGAAATGTCTGACTGGGCTTGGGACTGATTTGAAATCCATGCGGATTTAGCACAATCTGCATTATGACATTTGACCAAAGTTTTGACACTGGCCAATTATACTGCTGCATGGTTTTGGTTCCAGCCAAATGTGATGTCTCAAAAGGTGGTTTCCAGAAACGTCACCATTTCCTTCAGAGTCATGGCAAGAAATGGACAAAGAAAATGTACCCAGGGATGCTGTAGATGAAGCTTTCTGTTATCTGCTTGGGAAGACTTTTCCTATAACAGTGGGGGAAAAAACCAAGCTGCTCAAACTGTCATAACCAATCACAAACATATTTTTCCTGCAAAAGCTGGGAAGACGGTAAGCTAAAATAAGAGCGTGACTGTGGCAATTTAACCCTCCTTCCTAGTCTGGCTCTGCCAGCCACCCGCCCCTCCTCTCCCTCTGATTGCAAAGAAGTGGACTGAGTTCATACCTGTTGGAGAAGTGATTGGGCAGCTGCACAACCTCAGTGATGGCTTCGGGGTTCCGCTTGGCGACACTGCACACATTCAGCTTGCTGTAGCACTCTTCCTGCACCTCAGCAATCATCCTCTGGAAAGTGGAGCACCTCCGAATGGCCAGGAAGACCTTGGAGGTGACCCCGTTGGCAATGCACTTTAAGCTCTCTTTGACAAATGCTTTTCCCTGTCGAGGAAGGGGGATAGAAGAAAAGGCTTAGCTTGAACTGACAGAAGAGGTCGGGGGTGCAATATGAGAATCTTCAGGGGGCCTGTTTTTTTTGCATTGTATCATGACCATCTGCATATCCTTGCCATGAGGAGATTGTATGTCATAGGCAAGAATTTAAAGGAAAAAAAAACCAAACACCTTTTCCCTTAGATAATCTTGAAAATTGAGCTCCACAGAAAGGAAATAAGAGGAAAAACGAAAGGATCCATAATCAACCACCCTGCATCTTGACAACTGTCATTCTGTCATACTCCAGTTTTAGATATTCTTGCATGGAGACTTTGGTCATTTGGATGACAAGCCAGTAGGCCAGGTCATACAGCAAGAAGTTCTTTGTTAGAACATTTTCTTTTCTCAGAAGAGGGAAGGCTTCTCTGCTCATCCCCCTCCTCTTATAAGCCAGCCTCTGTCAGCTCTTACTGGCACGCCCCAGGGTGGGGGTGGGAGTGTGTAAGACAGAGCCTATTTCCTGACCCAGGCTGTGACTGTGCGTGCATGTGTATGTGCACACACACACCCTGAGATGGCAATTTTGTATAGGGAGGCTGGGAAGCAGGGCTGGTTCCCTACAAGACTGGTTCCTCAGAACAATAGTGGACTACTCTGTTAAAGACAATCAGTCAGAGGGAGCAGGGGTCAAGGTCTTATTACCTGAGTGTCAAATTTAGCAGCGCTGTACAAGAAGGATTTACAGATGTCGTACATCCCATCTGTGTCACACGTGGAGTTTTCCAGGCATGCAAAAGCCCCACAGCCAACCTGCAGAGCACTGTTGAGGCAGCGAACCACTTCAGCTGGAAGAGACATCACATCCAGTCAAACAGAGGGATGCTGGGTGGGGTCCAGCCGGTGCAGGCAAAGTTCAAGGACAAGGGACCAGAAGAACATATCCCAGAACTCTGTCCTGAGGACCATTAAAGAGGCCCATTGGAAGAGGAATGGGGTAAGAAGGAGGATGGACAGGCCCTGTTGGCTTCTGAGAGCCAGAGCACTCTAGGGGAATGAGTTCTTCCTTGGAGACGTGCCCACTCCGACTCACCCCCACACACATTTTGGTAACTGAAGCAGGGTTGGGGTCCCGGCAATGCACAGTGCCTTCCAGCAACTCTGTGGCATCAAAGACCATTGCCTGGCACTTGAAGTGGCTGGTGATGGGTTTAGGAGGTGGGAGGGCCTGGCTTAAAAAAATATGCACTTTAGGGTAAAAAGCATGGGATTTTAGCCCAAATGGCAGAGAAGAATTTGCCAATAGGCCACTTGAGGGAGACCCTTATGATTTCAGGCTTTTAACTTACCATCATATTGGTGGAAAGGAATCTCATCTGTTCATGTTCATCCCAACCCCCACAGGTTAGTGCTTAGAGGTATGTATAATCTCTCATATTAAAACCTTTTTTTTTTTTTTTTTTTTTTTTTTTGAGAAACACAGGTGTGGAATAACAAGGCCAAGGCACCCCTTGTGCAAGACTGGAAGAAAACCGCAAAGAGCTTGCATGAGGCTTTCTACATTCTGGATAAGATCTCCCATAAAAGTAATTTCTCTCCCACAGAAGGGGGGTGTTCTGGCAGGCAGCTCGGCAAGAAATGATCTGTAGCCTTCATACCGTAGGATTCTCCTCCGAGATCAAAAGCATGGTTCAGTTAGGCTTCCCCACCCCCTCCCACCACCCGCAGCCTCTGGGATGTTACAAGTCATTTCCCTAATTATATATTTCCACGGGTTCAAATTATAACTTTGCTTTAAGCAGTTTTAATATGCATTAGGGCTGCTATTGTTTTAGGCAAGCTGGAATTGTGAATCAGGCATCTCTATAGCAACTAAATACAAAAGGAAGGGAAGCAAAGCCCTCCTCTCGCTCTTCCAAGGGGAGCACGCTCTGCAGCATTTTGACACCTGCGATCCCATCTAGGCTGACAGTTGGGGGAGACAGGGCTGAAATGGAAGAGCAGAGAGTGGGGCCACAGGGGCGAAGGGGCTGAGGTCTTGATACAGGCTTCCCGACGCCCCTTTTTCTTCAGAGGCTGGGATCCTACACAATTAACTGCTCTGGGAGTCAGGATGAAAGTGAGACCTTCCCCTTGGAGAAACAGCTGCTTCATTTCACGAATATTCTCTTCGGAGGGGCTTTCTGGCCACGGGCTGCAAGGGCAACTGAAAGGAGCCCAAGAGACAGCGAGCTGGCAGAGAGTGAGGGAGTGGTGTTGGGGGTGGGATACGGAGGGTTTTCTCTGAATCCGCTCTGGATTTGTCAGACTGGAGGGCTATGGATCTGAAAATCAGTCTGAAAAGCGAGCTTCTCTGGGTTCTCTGAAGAGGCAGAGAAGTCAAGTTTTGGGGGTCTCAAACGGGGAGGGGAAAGGACAGCATCAGACAAGCTGTGTCTCACCTTAAGACCAGCTTCTGGAAAGTGTAGAGAGTGCTCTGAGGCATGCCAACATTCAAGCCTTTCCCCCGCCCCCTCCCCCCAAGAGGGTACGTGCCAGATTTCAGGCAATCAGGCTAGGCTTATGCAATGAAATACCCTCAGCAGAGCGCCCAGTTCCTTCGTTAGTTGCATGCAATTTATTAAACAAAGGAGCTTCACTTCCTAAGGCTATTGGATTACACTGGCAGTTTATTGCCATGGGGCATGAAGCACATTTATTATCAAGATCAGCCGCTACAGACACAGTTGCAAAAGTGAGAGGCAAATGAGGACAGCTCTTTGGGGGAGAAGCCGGTCCCGGGTTTGCGCTTACCTGAGTTCTGAGCTGCCACCCGGGATTTCCTGGGGCTCACAGAGTCATTCTGCTCCGCCTCATGGCTTGCAGCAGCACTGATCACCAGCACCAGAAGCACTGCTGAGTTTTGGAGCATTCTCTGAGAAGTTTCCGCTAAGTTGTTAGGTTTTTTTTTTTTTTTTTTTCCTCCCCCCCTTTCCTCTCTCCCTCTCCCGGCTTGAGTGAAGATGTGGATCTGGATATACTGAAAGCTTAGGTGAGGATTTGATGAGGATTTTTTTTTGTTGCTGCTGATGCTGCTCCTGCGGACCCTGCTGCCAACACGGTCTCCGCTGCTGCTGCTGCTGCTGCTGCTGCCTGCTGCAGTTGCTGCTTCTTGCACCTCTGGCTTTTGCAAACTGGGGGCCCAAGAGCTGCACCCAGGGATTTTATAGCCGTTCTTATCGGTCCTCAGGATCAGGGACCAATCATATGCCTCAACTGGTCAACTCAGCCAATAGGAGGGCACGCTTATTCAGCTGGAGCTTTTTGACTTCTTAGAAATATTTTCCAGCAAATTAAAAGTACCTGCTGCCAATGTTTTATATGTGTGTGTGGCTGTGTGTGCAGAGATGTGTGAAAAAGCTATTTTCACAGATTAAGGAATGACTTTATATTGATTGAACTAAAGGAAAATCTGTCCAAGTGGTTTTTGAAAGGTATTCATCTTTTTTTTAAAAAAGGAGTTATTGAGGGCCATGGGAGCTAGGGTATGGTGGGAAGGTGTAGCTCTTTGGATTACAACTTAATCTAAATAGAGCTCCTTTGCTCAAACTTTAACAGGATGTTCTGTTTTGTAAGCTGTGTACAAAACAGTGTCTCCACATCTCTGCATGTTTGTGTTCCCACATACTATGCATCTGTGATGCGTTTCTGTGACCTGCAAAGCATCCTTTATTCGGATTCACATCCGTGAGCCATCCAGGAAGGATTTGTGAGTGGAAGAGTCTTGGTGGATTGAGATAAGACAGCTCTGAGCTGCAGCCCCAGCTCCTCGATTGATTAACTCTATGACCTTGACCCAGTCCTTTCCCCTTGCTCCTCCTCTGTTTTAAAACCTATAAAATGCTGGAGTTGAAGTCTGGCTGTCCTTACACCTCCAAAGAGATGTGATTCTACAGTAACACAAATTAAAAGACTCCACCTTTTCAGTCACTAGCTGAATTGCGAACTCCCAGGGTGTTAGTGACCAGAGGCACGCCTGCACACCTCCCACAGCACACTAGACAGAGACCTCATGAATGCCTGGAAATTAATAAGCTGTGGATTCAAGCCCAGGAACTCCACAATCACGTTTGAAACCATAAGCTGGTCAAAGCAAGATGAAACCTGCTGGGTAAACCAGTTCATTTCTTGGGGGGTGGGGAGGAGGCAGGGGGCGGGACTGGGAAGAAGAGGTAGGGAAAGACCAGATTGTGGAGGAGAGAAGACTGATAAACTCCAGACTTAATGGGAAAATTACAGTGGCATCACCAATCAAGCCTACTATAGAAGCTTTCATTTTCTTATAAGTAGGTAACAGCAAGGCTTGTCTGTAACTTGTGAAGGAGGTTACCAACCTTTGAGAGGACTTCTTAGGGTAGGAAGGTGGTCATTAAGGGCTGTGGTGAAGTGAAGGGATTAAACAATAAAACCTTTAAGGATTTTCAGGAGGGCCATTGGTGATTTGTACAGACTTAGGTAGGATGATCTTACAAAGAAATAGAGCCAGTGGCTTCACTTTAAATCCCCGCATCTTCACATGGAAGTTAAAGAGACCACCAGCTGTACAATCACAAACCAACCAAGAATGAGCTCTGTACACAGGGGGAGTGGGTTTGCTGGGTGACTTCCAGGCCACACTTGGTGAAAATGGGTTGTTGGAAAGTGGAGATGCTTGTACATTTCAGTTTATATCAATTGAAAGTGTTGGTATTGCTCAAATACCTTTCAGGCTGAGTGCTGGGGGAGAGGGGAATAAAAGAGGTCCAGAAGAAGGCGGATGAAGGATTCTTGACCTTGAGGTGCCTGTAGGCAGGTTGGGAAGATGCCCAGCCTCCCTGACACCTAGAGATTCAAGATTCAAGATTCAGGGCCTTGCCTGGCAAAACATGTGCACTGAGAGTTCAAGCTAGAGATGTAGGGAAGGCTTTGTGGGGGAAGGAGGTGAGCTTCTGTGATTGCTTTTTAAGAATTTATGATATTTCACTTTTTAAATAAAATTCTTGTTTGCACAAGCTGGAAGTTTTTTTTTTTTTAAATTGCTTTAGGCAGGACAGTATGTATGTGTGGCAATGCCAAGGTTACTCAGTGCAATAGGTCACCCAGCTCACAAGAAGACAGGTGCATATTCTTTCCAAGGGTCCTGACTTCTGTCCATCGGTATTCTTCACTACCATGGCCACTGACACTGTTAAAGGCACTGATGTTTGCTCCTCTTACTGGACTTTCCCTGGTTGGCCCACTGGCTTGCCAAGGTGATGGTGAACCTCCCATTCTCCTCCTTCTTTTCCCTACTCTCCAATGCTCTCACTAGAATGCAATGTCCTACAAGTATGAGGATGTGTTCTGTATTTTTTCTAATGCTGATTTATTGTTCCTCCTTGTTTTTCTTGCTTACCATCACATGCCTAGAGATTTGTTACTCTGTGTGCCAAGCCTTTCGCAATGGCAGGTAAGCTGTCATTTGAAGAAATACAATGATGGCCAGCCACATGGGTTTGAATATAACTAGAGTGCACGTCAACATGTTGGAGGATGTTAAAACACTTGAGGGTGACAATATGTTTGAGAAGATCAAGGGAGGGGGTTGAAGTCTAAGTGGTAATGCCCGACCTAAGTTCTTTTCCCAGAAGTCCACAATTGGAGGCTATCTGATAACTGTACTTCTGTCTTGGACGTTATATGGCAATCATTAAAGTCTTAGGAGCTCTCGTGGGAATGACTGGCTCCTCTGTAACTTCTCTTGCAGATCTGAGAGAATATGCAGGAGTTTGAATGTCAGATTTCAGTCTGAATTTCTCTTGCAAGCAGTAGTGAGTCCCAAGGGCTCTTGAATGGGAATTGTTTTAAATAATGTGTTGAAATTAGCATTTGGGAAAAATCTTTGCATCACGCACATGATGGTTTGGACAAAGAAAGGAATGGAAGCTTTCCCACTAGTTAGCAATATGGGTTTGTGTTGATTGATGAGGTTACAATGGTGGTTGTAGGTAAGGAAGGAGGAAAATATGAAAAAAGTTTTAAATAAAATCGACATTATCAGTTAACCTAAGCAATTCCTGATTTAATGATAAAGGAGATGATATACATCAGACTTTTCCCTCCCCATTTTTTGGTTGCCCTTAACTTGCAGGGACTACCTGGTATCCCAGTGGAGCAGGTACTCTCTGGTGTTCTGCTCAGGTTATAAAATTACCTATCAAAAGGAACTGACTGTACTTTGGGTGAGTGAGGAGCCTTCCCAAGCCAGGCCTCACGGTTGGAGGTGCGCCCGGGGTGCAGTGGGTGGCAGGGGAGCTAGGTACCCTGTGCCATTGCATCTGAGCAGAGTAAGTGCTAAGTGTGAGCGTGGAGCTGCCAGTACCTCCGGCTGGGTGATGATGCCCTGGCTGTGCCCGTGCAAGGCTGCCAGGAGTTCAGTGAGAAGATTAAGCCAAAAATCTCCAGGGCTTTGTTGGATTTGGCTAGCTTAACACGAAGCAGTGAATAGCTCTTTACCTTTTTGGTGAGAGGAGCCCAGCAGCTTGGTTTCTTGGTAAATGTTCTTTTTGTTAGTGGAGAGCAAGACTCAGCAAGGTGGTCTGACATAGTGACCGGGCTTGGGCCATTTTTCTTTGGCAATTCTGGGCCTGTGTGTTTTCTGTTGATGGTTGGACTGTGATTTTCTAAACTCAAGACAAATGTGGGGGTTGGCAAGGGGGTGGGGGGATGAACTGAAAGCTTTTAAAAATTTCTATTTTTCTGTGAAGACACCAGGTTTTCTGTATAGATGGCCTCAAATTCTTGAATGAATCTCTGCCTCTTGCATGCCTTTGATTGCTTTAAACTCTACCAAAGAAAGCAAACAAGGAAATACATTAAGATGGCAAATTCCCTCCTCTCCCCACGTGCCCAGAGCTTGCCCTAGTTTATGGAGTGTCACTGTGTGGCTGGCACTAGGTCAGGTAGTGGTGAGAAATGCAAGAGATGGTTGACCTTTTCCCATGCTTAAGGAATTCCCAAGCTAGTCCTTAAAGGATGCACGTTGAATCTTTTTTGGGATGGGGTGGGGTGAGGAGAATGTAATATGGCCAGTGAATTAGAATAGAGCTTATAGGTTTGAATCAATTAATTAACATTTATGGGTGCATGTCTATGTCAGGCATCACTGCAGATGCATCCTATGTGTAATAACAGGAGTGCTCTCTTTCCTTCCCACTGGAGAAGACCAGGACCCAATGTGAAAAATGGCTTGCTTGTGGTCATAGTGTGGACAGTGGGAAAAATCTCCTGAGATTTGCTAATTACAGAAATAGTCCTGGATTCTTGTGTGGCCACCACAGTAGCAGAGAGAGTATGATTGCTTAGAGCCTTTGTCTTGAGGGGCAAGAAACACACACACACACACACACACACACACACACAGGATGACTTAACAGGCTTTAATCAGAACAGGCAAGTTGAAATTAGCCTTCTCTCTTATGAACATCTGCTTCTCATTGCTTCAGGTGTAAGTTGTGATGCTTCTTTGTATCCAGGAGGACAAGTTCATATTCTTAGGGCAGCTTTCCGATCTCCAGAGATACAGGAGGCTACTGAAGCAAATGTGAAGAGGTTCTGTGGGTCATCTGATCTGTCGTTTAAAATAGCCCTACGAAAGATCTAAAGTGAAATTACTCCTTTGAGACACATGGGGGCGCTCGAATCAACCAACAATGTGGACACATTTCCTTTAAATTGAATAAAGGGGAAAAAAAAGCAATAAATAAATAAACAAACAAACAAACAAAAACACCCAGTTGTGAATCCTGGCTCTGTTTGCTCATTATTTCATGCCATCAGAATGCTTCTTAGGGGTACACCACAGGTTTGTAGTCCATACCTGTTACTTAGCTAGTGAGCTTGCAGCCTAGTATGGTTCTCTGTTCTTGGAAGTGTTGCAGTATAGACCATTTTATGTACCATTCTTGTATTATCTACTAAGGAAATGCGTTGCAGGCAAGTTTAAGTGTTCTTCCCTAGTCCTATGGGAGGATATTATCTGTACTCACATTGTTCAGGGAAGCTGAGGGAATAATCAGATAATACACTTGCAGTGTTTTGAATTCCTTCGTTAAAAAGGGATTTCATTTCAAGGTTAGAGCTAGCATTGCTTCCCCTTACCGAAGTAAAGAT